GCTAGCTAGCTAGCTAACCGGCTATGTCTGCTAGACGAGACGCCCGCATGACTTTAACTGCATGCGGACATATGGGGGGGTTGTGGTGGTCGAGATGGTGGATGCTCGTGGAAATCCCAGCTCGACGGATCCTCCAGTCCCGTTTTCGTGCAAATTCAAGCACCAACGCTGCACGTTAGCCGGCTAACGCTAGCTGAAAAAGCAGTACGATTTCAGTAAAACTCCACCTCGGGTCTTTTTCTTGTACGACAAAACAAGTCCGGGTGGTACAATCCGGATTGGCGTCTCTCTCTCTTAGTGAGCCGGAAGACTCGGATGTTATCGCTGCATGTACTTAATGCCTTTAGAAAAATCCCAGTTCTTGTAAATAGTGATCTCTGCTGTGTTGTTATCCTGCTGTCTGGACTGGCTGCTGATACACCACCATGTTCTCAAAGATCATACCGAGCACAATGGCGCCCCCGGCTGGACGGATTGTGGTACTGCAGCATCCGTAAACTGACATGGGAGATACTGCATCGTACAAATGCGTATTAGTCAAGTAAATGTATGACTTTTTGTATGTTTTTTTTGTTTTGCATCATCCACCGTAATGCGGTTTATGTACTTTAGAGAAAGCAACAATAAAATAACGTTTTGGGCCACAGAAAAAAAGGTATCATATTGTTTTCAAGCCCAAAGCATATGAACCAAACCGTACTTCGACTGAAAAATGATTTAAATTCACATGCATTCACTGGAGATGTAACATTACTATCGGTATTGTGACTGTTATTGATTTGCATCGTAGCGGATGTAAGTTTCTTGTTGCTTTTATTTCCCGTCTTCGTGTGAACTGCATTCCTGAGGGGGGGATTGGGGGGGGGGTTGGGGCACAGTTTCAGTTTATTTCTGTGGCTGACGGAATGTGAATCACTTGAAATGAGCAATCGCTCGGGCATCGGATTCAACGCTTTACCAAATAAGGCGCGCGCGGGGCGTGCGCTGCTCTCTCTCTCTGCAGAGGGATGAGCAGAGCGGGGACGCGCATCTCCAAAAGCACGCACGGCTTTCACGTGAACTTTGAGCTTACGACTTAAAAATAAGGTAAGATCGAGCTTCAACCTCCTATTGGCTTCCCGTGTTGTTGTTGTTGTTGTTCTTTTCTCGTGCATGTGGATGGTCGCGGTCTATCCTCTGTGAGTAGGACCACAGGCCGCTGGGTGCGGCGTGTCCGCCGTCTGGGGCGGAAAAACCCTCCGTTTTTTTTTTTTTTTTTTTTTCAAAGTCTGCATTTGACTTTTGACACAGATGTTCCAGGCGCGCGGGTTTGATGTTTTAGAGGCTTTCTCTCTGGTCTCATCCAAAACGTACGCGCGGTGATATACAAACCTCTACCACCAAACCTCAGAAAGGGAAAACCGAGGTCTGTTTCCTGCCTGCGAGGGGTGAGGTGGGGTGAGGGGTGAGGTGGGGCTCACACAGTTTGAGCTCAGTTATTAACCGAACATCTGTCAGTCACATCCCAGTGTCCACATTTTTATCTTGTGTGTGTGTAACTCTAACAACGGGCTTCATTTCTAATCGGGTTCATTTTTGTTCGCTGGGTTGTCTTCCTGCAGACGCGCCGTTACCTCAGAGCAGCTTCCTGAGCCTCCTTCCACGGAACAGGAAGCAGAGTGGATGCTTAAAAACACTCATTTGCTTGCGAAATCTTCAGAATCGTCGTCAGCACTTTCATGTGGTTGTGCTCCACTTTATAAAAAGTCCCACACATCTGCATCAACAGATGTGCATAAACAGAAAGACGAAAAACAGTTATCAGTTACTCTGCTACCCGATGGCGCATGTTTAAACCCGTTTAGCGCATAAAGCCTGGAACGGGTCATCTGGCCAATGCCCCTGAATATCGCCATGTTCCCATCATCCCAACGGCAGGTCGCCTGATCTGTAGGCACCTTCCCACAACACGAAGGGCAGGTGTTGTGCCAGTTCCTCAGTAGAGTTCGAAACAAACATTCACGGCAAACCCACGGTCATAGATGGATACTCGTTTAACGTTACATGGAATTTGCATGTCGCTAAATACCCAACTGGCAATGGAACCTTCCACCGACGACCATTTCCCGTAAAGGCTCCTCTGAGCAGCTCACAGCCTGATCACGTTCCTCCGCCTCTCAGATGAGTTATTTCATACAGCATTAATAAGGCAGCAGAAAAACAGTTTTATCAATGAAGACAGACTTCGCATTCATAGTGATTCTCTTCTCTAATTGACTTTCAGCGGAATACGTGACCTCCCGTCAGTGACTCCTCTCGCCGGCTCCCAACTCAGCGTCCCACGATGCCGCTGATCGTGCTGCCCACCTCCCAGCTGCTGTGGGTGCGCGTGGCCGCCCTGCTGTTCACCTGCGTGGCGTTCAGCGTGACGGCGCACGGGGCCTGGCTGGGCCACGGGGGCGCCGGCGACTGGTGCATCTTCTGCTGGGCGTTCAGCTTCGCCTGCACCCTGCTGGTGCTGCTGGTGGAGCTGTTCGGCCTGCAGGCCCGGGCCCCCGTGTCCTGGACCAACTTCCCCATCACCGTCGCCTGCTACGCCTGCCTCCTCTGCCTCTCCGCCTCCGTCATCTTCCCGCTCTTTTTCCTCAAGTACCAGAACTCTTCCGGCGAGGCCCGCGACTATCGCATCGCCGCCACCGTCTTCTCGTGCCTGGCGACGGTGGCCTACATGGGGGAGGTGAGCCTGACCAAAGCGAGGCCGGGGGAGGTGGCCGGTTACATGGCCACGGCCCCGGGCCTGCTGAAGGTGTGCCAGACCTCCGTGGCGTGCATCATCTTCCTCCTGGTCAGCGACCCCGTGACCTACGACCGGCACGCGGCCCTCAAGTGGTGCATGGCGGTGTACTGCATCTGCTTCATCCTCTCCATGGCCGTGGTGGTGCTGTGCGTGGGCGAGTGCACCGGCCGCCTCCCCGTCTCCTTCTCCAAGTTCCTGTCGGCCTACGGCCTCCTGGCGGCGGTCATGTACTTGACGGCGACCATCCTCTGGCCCGTGTTCCAGTTCGACAGACAGTACGCGGGAAGCGGCCGGGCGCCGTCCAAAACGATCGCCGCGGCGGTGCTCACCGCCCTCAACTTGCTGCTCTACCTCGCCGACCTGGCCTACACCGCCCGACTGGTGTTTGTCAGCGCCTGAGGGGGCGCGGGGAGAGGAAGGAGCGCCGGCGCTTGCAGACAAAGAGGTCAGGAGGTCGAAGGGCTTCACAGAGAAGCGTCACGTGACTGACTGTAGAATCCCAAGTGAGATCTGCTGTCGATGGAGGAAAGAAAAGTCCCAAAGTCACTCACGGTGTCTGTGTGTGTGTCTGCAGGGTTTCACCTCCATCGTGAACGGACCTGTGAAAAACACCAGAACAACAGGAAGGACGTGGAAGGCGTCCGTCAGTGTCAGTTAGAATCCATGAAGTCCTCACACTGGAACACAAGGACACGCGTTAAATTGTATTTCACATTAAGACATTGAGGCGCCCTGGATGTTCTCTTCCTGCCCTGTTTTCCCTTTTGTTTCATATTTATTCTCCTTATTACAGTATCACAGCCAGTGTTCTGCACATCTTCAGTAAAGGGGTCAAATGGGTGGTTTACATGTTGTACCTCGTCATATACAAGTGCCTTCCTCATTCCCAGTGTTCACAAAATACTTTCTCTTTTTATCCTGATAGAGAATCAGTAATGAAGCATTTGAAAGAATGTAAAGTTTATGAGTTCCTTTTTTTAAGCACCAGATGAAAGTGTTTTTAATGCAGCGATGAACACGACCGCGTCTTTTTTTCTCTCTGTCGTTTCTATTCAGTCAGAAAATTAAATCAGCTGCAAAAGAAATAGACAAGGAAAGGAATTGCAGGTGGGTTAGGGGGGGGGGGGGGGGTGTTCAGGGAACTGTCATTCTAATAAACAAGTAAAAAGAGACTTGATGTCCTGAATGTTTTTGTGCAACTGCTAGATGGATAACAAGTTGGTGAACAGTACAGAACATAAATTGCTTTAGTTGAATTAGTTCCTTTTAAAAAAGGAACCTCATGAGGACTGAGGGGAGATCACGTGAAAGGAGGAAGTAACAAAGGTGTTGTGGTGAAAAACGTACTTAAAGAAGAAGATTCAGGAAACACTTTCAGACTCAGTCTGCTCCGTCCAACTGTCGCTCTACTGTCACTTCACCCTAAGAAAATCAGTGACACTAACTTCATCATTCAAACTGATCGCAGACGCAGAAACAGATTGTTTCACGTGAATATGATGATGTCACATTTTGCAGCAGAAAATGGAAGTGGAACGTCAGGAGTTCCCGAGATAAAAAATGTGTCACCGTTATCTGCTTTCTCAACAGTGAGCTCCGATGAAGAGGATGGGCTGGTTATGCGTAGTGCCACCCCACAGGGGGTAAGACTGAAGAACACTGAGCTACTTTCGGATTTGTCTCACTTTTTGTCCCACCTTCCTGATTATCATTGTGGTGATGTAGAGAACTTAAAATCTGGCTTCCCATGCTTATTTAGTGGTATACCCTCTCAAACCTCTGTCATTATGCATGACATTGTCTTAACCAAGCCAAAGCCCATCAAACATCATGCTTATCAGGTTAATCCTGCAAAGAGGGAATGCATGAGGAAGGAGGTGGACTATCTTGTGGAACAAGCTGTTCCCAGCTCCAGTTCATGGAGCTCACCATGTGTCCTGGACGGCAGTCCAAGGTTCTGCATTGACTTTCGTAAGGTGAACTCTGTGACTGTCCCTGATCATTCATCCTTTGCCTCTTATTGAAGACTGTATTAGTAAACCTGACATGTTAAAAGGTTACTGGCAGGTTCCGTTAACACCACGTGCCTCGGAGATCTCAGCTTTTTTCACCCCAGACAGTTTTCTTCAGTATACAGTAATGCCCTTTAGACTCTGCAATGCGCCTGCTACCTTTCAGAGACAAGGTTTTGCGAGAGGTTCCACGCTGTAAGGCATACTTGGATGACATCGTTGTATACTCTGATGATTGGAACTCTGGATGATTGGAAGGTTTGATTTTTATTTCAGTGGCACTTCCCCGTTTTTTAATAAACTTGTTTATTTGTTTTGGAACAAGTTGTGCGTTTGGGTTCAGGGCCATTGTCCGGTCGCGACATAAACCATATACATACATACATACATACATGTTTACATGCAATCATGAACTAAACTAAGCAGAAAATCTCACTAAATCTATAAACATCATCTTGTTGAAGAATAGTTGGTTTCCTGTGCATTTCAACGTCACAACTACAAACAACAAATCAAATGAAACCAGTGGAAGATGTTATTTGAGCAAATCGAGTCTTTAGTAGAGTGTACTATCCCCCCCCCCCACACACACGCTCATAAGTGAAAGTGAAACTTAAGTAGAAGCCGAGTCCCTCCACAGCAGAAAGAACTGTCGTCTGTATTAACTTTTACTCTTTACTGACTTTTCTTCTACAAACATGGACAATAAGTTAAAGTTTCTTCTCTGAATGATTATTATTTGTTAACAATGCTCTCTGTCCACCACCTTACAACACGCACAAGGACACATTTTATTTGTGTGTCCATAATGGACCGTTGTTGTCCCTCGTGCTCATGGCGCAGTGTACTTGTGCATTAGTGAGACAGCAGGGGGCGCTACCAACAAAACAACGCTGTCTGGTGCCTTCAAGGATTAAACAGGTCAGAGAAGCAGTTACATCCTGTTGGATACTCTATCAGGAATCAGGAAACATTTATTTGCCAAAATATGTCAAACATACAAGGAATTTGTCTTGGCGGTTAGTGCGCGACAGTAGACAGACAACAGTGCACAAGTAATAAAATAAAGTAGAATGAAATGCTAATGCAATGGGTTAGCTAGTTTACATCAGAGTTACTCACATGTGTTTGTTAGTGTGTATTTAGCTAAACGATGTTTAATTCAGAGTCCCTTTTTCTTTTCTAGTGTGGAACACATGGAGGATCGTCATCCTGGGAAAAGCAATAGTTGGAAAGAGCAGCCTCGCCAACAACATATTTGGAGAAGCCAAATTCAAAATAAACAGTTTTGATTCCACTGCAGCGGAAACAAAATACGTCAGTGGGAGAAGCATCACTCTCATCAACACTCGTGGCGTCTTTGACCCGGGCAGATCTGAGTAGAAGAAGGGTCCTGAGAGGAGGAGGTGCACCACAGAGTGCGCTCCTGGGCCCCATGCTTTTCTCATTGTGCTGAAAGTGGAGAAATTCACAGAGCAGGAGACGGCCGTCATCACAGAAATATGTGAGGATTTCCCTGAAAATGCTCTAAAATATGCCGTGATCGTCTTCACTCATGGTGACCAGCTCCAGGAGGGAGTGACCATGGAGGAGCATGTGGAGCAAAGTGAGGGTCTCAGTGACCGTTTGGTGAAGGTTTTATCTTGTTCTCTTGTGAAACTGTCTTGGGTCATTATTTCATGGTATAATGGTGATTACTTTCTATTTACTATTCTAATCACGTATTTTGTGTTAAAGTTTAAGGCTGACTCGGCTTGACTTTCTTACCATCAATAAAAACAATTAAAAGACCAAAACCAAGAATGAAATGTGTTTTGATACTATCATATAAATACCCCCACAGCTTCCAGTAGCTGGTGGTGCTGACTGGACGCTTTGATGGGAACAGAATCAGAATCTCCCTGTGAATTTCAAAGTATGGTTCAATGGTATCAACTGAGTTTCTCCAAATCCGTTTGGTTAAACCTTTCCCTAAACTGCAAATCCAAACAGTCTAAAAACATCCCCAAACGTCCCTCAGTGTCATTGCTAATGCTGGTGATTCTTAACAAAACGTCCTAAGTGAGACCTCACCTGAAGCCCTGATGGTCCAGCTGCTGCTTCCTCAATCTGCACTGGATTTCTGAATTTCCTGAATGCATTCCAAGATAATGCTTTAATTAACAAAATAACCTCATGAGAATTATATGTAATGCATTTGTTTATTCTGAAATTAATGCTTAATATGTAGGTAATCTGTTCAGGACTAATTCCTCTGTGCTGGATTTCTGAGCAATGAAATAATGTAATAATTAATTCATTATATAATGCATAATTGTGTGCATTCCAATTCATAGCACCTTTTTACTACCAACAAGTATAACAGTTAATGAGTCTTGAGTTGCTGGCCTGCTGGTACCAGTATAAACTAGCATGGTCCCATTATGTGGGTACGTTAGTTTTATCCTTCTGGCTTCAACAAGGCAGCTGCTGCTAACGCACTGATTCAAGGATTCAGACGCTAGAGATGTAAATAAAGTGACATGCTGCACACTAGAGGATGGATACCAGACACTAACAGCCTACATTGTAGAGCGCGGCATCGTACAACCAGCAGGTGAGCTGACACGACCTGTGACCTGATAGCTCGATTGATTTGGTTGATTCCACGGCACCGTTCAGGGCGTTGACCTTGTAAACAAAAGCCCCCCCCCCCCCTTAATGAATCATAAATGATGAGCAGGTCTCATTCCTGTGTGTCTGATTGTATCAGACTGTAGAGCTCAATCACTTATTGAAGACCTCCTCGGTTTGGACACTAGAGGACACCAACGTCCCAGAGTTCTGCACATCTTCAGGTGGAACGACCACTTCTTCCGTGGCAGCATGGGGGACTTTACCGCTCGTTGAAGTTTGATCAGAAATGCTTCCATTTCCCATAAAGGCTCCTCTGAGCAGCTCACAGCCTGATCACGTCGCTCTCACGTTCCTCCGCCTCTCAGATTGTCCGCCGAGATCCAATCAGCAGCTCAGCGCTCAGCGAGCGTGTAGAAAACTCCTTTGAGCGCGAGCAGAGATTCTCCTCGCGAGCAACGTGAAAGTTCACGTTTCGCAAGCGAGCAAATATCTCGCTCGAGACGGACTTTTGCTCGCCGATGTTTGATTTGGGTTAAATTCTTAAGGTCATTTAATAATTATGTTTTGATCAGAGTTGTGATTAAAGGTTTGGGTGGGAAGATTTTCAGATTTCAAATTAGGCCGGGGCATTTTTGAGTTTGGGAACCGCTGTAATACAACTAATACAATTAATAAGAGAGCCGGAAAATAGTTTTATCTTAAAAACAACAAACTTCACATTCATAGTGATTTTCTTCTCTGATTGACTTTCAGTGGAATACGTGACCATCGTCGACACGCGACCTTCTGCTGGGCGTTCAGCTTCGCCTGCACCCTGCTGGTGCTGCTGGTGGAGCTGTTCGGCCTGCAGGCCCAGGCCCCCGTGTCCTGGACCAACTTCCCCATCACCGTCGCCTGCTACGCCTGCCTCCTCTGCCTCTCCGCCTCCGTCATCTTCCCGCTCTTTTTCCTCAAGGGCCAGAACTCCCCCGGCGAGGCCCGCGACCATCGCATCGCCGCCACCGTCTTCTCGTGCCTGGCGACGGTGGCCTATATGGGGGAGGTGAGCCTGACCAAAGCGAGGCCGGGGGATGTGGCCGGTTACATGGCCACGGCCCCGGGCCTGCTGAAGGTGTGCCAGACCTCTGTGGCGTGCATCATCTTCCTCCTGGTTTGCGACCCCGTGACCTACGACCGGCACGCGGCCCTCAAGTGGTGCATGGCGGTGTACTGCATCTGCTTCATCCTCTCCGTGGCCGTGGTGGTGCTGTGCGTGGGCGAGTGCACCGGCCGCCTCCCCGTCCCATTCTCATGCACCTGACAGTCATGTACTTGACGACGACCACCCTCTTAAGACACTAGGGCGCCCTGGAGTACAGTACATAAATTGCTATAGTTGAAGTAGTTCTGTAGGATATTAGAAACAAATTGACGATCCGGTTCATAAAATTAATAAAAATGCATATAGTGTACACCAGAATAGAGCCATGTTTCTGAAACTGTGTAATCCATAAAGTAATGACAATATTGTAAAACCACTGTAATTCTGCACTGTAGTAGAATAATACCAATGTAGTTATGATTGTATTTGATGTAATGTAATCAACTGGAATGCATGCATGTAATACTTGCACAACCACTGATATTGACTAAGGATCATTCGAAATCCGAGTTACATTGAACTCACCTGAAGACTCCCAGAGGTGTGGACACTGACTTTCACACCTTTAAGCATTGTTATAAATACCTGTAGGAACCATTGTTCTGGAGTTCGCAGGTGGAGGTGACAGACGGGCACTAGGGATGGTCAAAGGACTGACCTGGGGCCTGTTGGTCGCTGAGACCAGCGGCTCCTCAGCTGAGATGTTCTTTTTACCGCAACGCCATCTCTTTTATTAAATACATTTGATTTTAACCTTTGAGCGTTTCTTCATTTTTGAACACAACAGCTCTTATCATCTTGTGTTTGTAACTCTAATGTAATATAGATGAATTTTTAAGTTGTTTCATAACCTTTGTTTTCTGCTGTAATGTGATTCTCGTACCTCATTGCTTTAATAACGACTACACGTTATTACGTAAGTTATTTAATACAGCATTAATAAAAGATCGCCGCGGCGGTGCTCACCGCCCTCAACGCCTCCGTGGGAAAGTCTCAGAAGAACGGCTGGTGGGAGACTTACGTTGCATAGACACCATTAAACTGTTTACTTGTACGTGATTTAAGGTGAGATTCTATTCAAGGATGAAACACTGTATGAAACACTAACAGCCTACATTGTAGAGGGCGGCATCATACGGCCAGCAGGTGAGCTGACACGACCTGTGACCTGATAGCTCGATTGATTTGGTTGATTCCACGGCACCGTTCAGGGCGTTAACCTTGTAAACAAAAGCCCCCCCCCCTTAATGAATCATAAATGATGAGCAGATCTCAGGCCTGTGTGTCTGATTGTATCAGACTGTAGAGCTCAATCACTTAATGAAGACGTCCTCGGTTTGGACACTAGAGGACACCAACGTCCCGGAGTTCTGCACATCTTCAGCTGGAATTTATTATGGGCTCTTCAGTCTCGTTTGCATCACTACGTTATTTCATACAGCATTAATAAAAATAGTTTGATCATAAAAGAACAAACTTCACATTCATAGTGATTCTCTTCTCTAACTGACTTTCAGCAGGTCTCATGTTGTAGAATCCCAAATGAGATCTGCTGTCGATGGAGGAAAGAAAAGTCCCAAAGTCACTCACGGTGTCTGTGTGTGTGTCTGCAGGGTTTCACCTCCATCGTGAACGGACCTGTGAAAAACACCAGAACAACAGGAAGGACGTGGAAGGCGTCCGTCAGTGTCAGTTAGAATCCATGAAGTCGTCACACTGGAACACAAGGACACGCGTTAAATTGTATTTCACATTAAGACATTGAGGCGCCCTGGATGTTCTCTTCCTGCCCTGTTTTCCCTTTTGTTTCATATTTATTCTCCTTATTACAGTATTACAGCCAGTGTTCTGCACATCTTCAGTAAAGGGGTCAAATGGGTGGTTTACATGTTGTACCTCGTCATTTACAAGTGCCTTCCTCATTCCCAGTGTTGTGAAAATAAATGTTCGACCTGACAAAACCTTTTTTTAGTGAGTGTTTGGGTCACAAAATACTTTCTCTTTTTATCCTGATAGAGAATCAGTGTTGAAGCATTTGAAAGAATGTAAAGTTTATGAGTTTCTTTTTTTAAGCACCTGATGAAAGTGTTTTTAATGCAGTGATGAACACGACAGCGTCTTTGTTTCTCTCTGTCGCTTCTATTCAGTCAGGAAATGAAACCAGCTGCAAAAGAAATAGGCAAGAAAAGACTTCCTGAATCCTGAATAACAGGTTTGTTTTGTGTAACTGTTAGATGGATAACAAGTTGAAGCTGTGCTTGGTGAACAGTACAGAACATAAATTGCTTTAGTTGAATTAGTTCCTTTTATAAAGGGAACCTCATGAGGACTGAGGGGAGATCATGTGAAAGGAGGAAGTAACAAACGTGTTGTGGTGAAAAACGTACTTGAAGAAGATTCAGGAAACACTTTCAGACTCAGTCTGCTCCGTCCAACTGTCGCTCTACTGTCACTTCACCCTCGACGACATGGACGGTAAGTTCATTTCTTTTACTGTGTTTTGTGTTCGGTGCTGATACAGCTGATTCTGTATTTTTATGCTTAGTACAAAGTACAAACTGCTTTCAATTTTTATTGTAACATTTGAACAATAACAATATATATTAGAATTAAGCTGATGCTGATGTTCTCTTTCAGAGATGAGAATTGTAATGTTGGGAAAAACAGGAGTTGGTAAAAGCAGCGTGGCGAACACCATATTAGGAGAGAACGTGTTCCAGATCGGCCGCACAGCCAACTCTGCAACAAGTGAATGTCGATCAGAAACCAGACGTGTTGATGGAAGAGACGTCACTTTGATCGACACTCCTGGTTTGTTCGACACAGATCGACCTGAAGAGGAGCTGAAGCCTGAAATAGTGAAGTGCTTCACAGAGTGCTCTCCTGGGCCTCATGCTTTTATCATAGTGTTTAAAGTGGACAGATTCACAGTTCAGGAGCAGGAAGTGATCAATAAGATCAACCAATACTTCTCTGAAGAAGCTTTCAAGTATGCAACAGTCCTCTTTACTTATGGTGACCAGCTGGAGGAAGAACAGACCATTGAGGAATATTTCCACAACAATCAGCGTTTGAGTGATCTGGTGAAGAAGTGTGGAGGCCGCTGCCACGTCATTGATAACAAATACTGGAAGGACAACCAGCCGGATGATTACAGGAGCAACCAGTTCCAAGTGAAGCAGCTGATGAAGACCATCGATCACATGATTGAGGCAAACAAGGGAAGCTGCTACACCAACAAAGTGCTACAAGCTGTGGAGAAACTGAGACAAGAGGAGGAGAAACAGATCAGACAGTCACCAGGAAACAAGACAGAGAAAGAGATCAGAGAGGAGGCTAAAAAGAGAGCATTAAAAAGGCTTTTGATTGAATTGGCTGGTGTAACCACAGGTGTATTGTTAGGAGTTCTTTTTGGTGTTGTTCTCGTGGTTGGAGCAGAAGCAGCTGGAATAGCAGCAGGCTCACTGATGGTTGTAGGTGCTTTAGCAGGAGCGATCAAAAGAGGATACGATGCTGTTCAGAAAGCACACAAAGTACACGTGGGAATCTCTGTCTTTAAACATAAGAAAAAAACAGCAGATGACGAATATGAATTAATTAATTAATGAATTAATGTTCCCTGATTTTTAGAATGTGTCCAACGTGGAATCTTTAACTATTGAGATGATGGTGTTCGTATGTAACAGGTTGAACTTCTTGCGTGAGCTTTCTTCTATTTTCTGACTCTTTTCTAAAGCGTGTTGCAACAGCTGCAGAGCAAAGTGCTTCCTGACTGAATGAAAGTTCAATCTTTTCTTATTTGTAGTACAAAGTGCCTGATATGTTGTTTCTCATGTGTATCATCAACTGTGGCCACAAACCACAAATATAATGTTGTTTCAACATCTTGCATCGATAAGCTTTTTAGAAAATGTCTGTTGGATGTTGAATCGTTGTTCTGTTTCCTGTTACAGAGTTAACCAGAAAATGTTTTTGTTCATGTACATTTTGTGAGACAATAATTGTAGTCATCTGTGGATTAAAATGTATCAGCAAGACAAATAAAGACAACTCAATGGAATCCTGTAAAACATATTTTTACTTTTTAAATGAAACTACACTCCCCAACACACACACACACACACACACACACACACACACACACACACACACACACACACACACACACAAACAGGAAGTGAAGATAAGACTTGTGTAAAAGGAGAGAAAAGACACACAGGACGTCGTTAGTGTGAAAACTTTTCCTCTTCACTGAATTCTCTTCTGAAAGTTCAAGTTAATTATTTCAGTTATTACTATGTGGTAACGTTGCTCACAATACATTACTTTATTACACATTATGGACTTTTATGAACTAATTATGGCATTTGTGCTGTTAAACATTATTTTTCCCCTGAAAAACTCCACCTTGAAAGAAGAAGAATGTCTGCAGATGTGACTGCTGTTTCAATAGAAACCTCAACAATTAGAATTATAAAATGAAACTAACGTTTTATCCCAAAGAAAAAGAGTTGTAGTTTGTTAACATGGCTTTCACAGTCTGCCCCTCCTTTACGGCTCAATCAGGAGGGAGCATACCTGCAAACTTGTCGCTTTTGGGCAAAATTCGCCTTTTTAAAATCAAAACAGAAGAGTTTTTATCTGGGGGGGAGGGTGGTCAACTCACCAGCCAGCGTTCCTGAGTTTCGAGTGAAAAAAGGAGGAACGTTGAAGTCTTGATCTATGCAATAAACGCTCTTTGATGTGACGTCACGAGGCTTGGCCAATCAGCGTTGAGATCTCTACAGCGTTTCCAACTTCACATCCTTTCTCTCACAATCAGTGTTGCCAACTTGACAACTTCTGCGCTAAATCTGGTGACTTTCCAAACCCTCTCGGCGTTTTTTTTTTGTCAAAACCGACTAGCGGGAAAAATCTAGCAACATCTTCTGTCAAATAACCTTTTGTCAAAGACAGATGTTAATATTGATTCTGAACTAGATTTGAATCTTAACTTCATTCACAAAACAGCAAATAACCTTAACTTGTATTTTATGAACGTCTTTCTGGTGGTCTGTACCACAGTAACCTTAGTGTTAAAAGCTCCATAACAAGAGTCCCATTATTTTTGCATTGCGGAAATGGCGGCTCCGTGTCCGTTGCAACCAGACTGCGGTGCACACGAACGCAGTACAGGAGCGTCTCGCCCGCCATCCGGAGAGATGGAATGTTGCATCTTTGTCTTACAGTAGGCTATCATCAACAGAATCTTGAACCAATGCAAATATGTGTAATTAAGCATAAAATGACTTATCATTCACCACAACGCTTCGATGAATCTTCATTACATTACATTACATTACATTACATTACATTACATTACATTACAGGTCATTTAGCAGACGCTTTTATCCAAAGCGACTTACATTACACTTTAAACCCATGGCTTTGTTTACATTTGGCCCAGGGAGCACTTAGGGGTTAGGTGTCTTGCTCTGGGACACTTCGACTTGAGACATGGGGCAGCCGGGACTTAACCTTCCAACCTTCCAGCACACCCGCTCTACCCCTTGCGGCACGACGACCTCTATACCTTCAATATGCTCGCTCGCGTTAGATTGGTCCCTTTGAGCAGGAGCGGGAAACTGTGGGCTGTTTTCACGTCATCAAGATGTATTTTACGTCAACAGAACTTAAAATTAAATTATGTTTTGATCAACTGATCATTTTAAACTCAGACAAGTCATGATTGTACATTGAATCAATAGGCATAATTTGTGTGTCACCCGAGCTCAATAAAATAACAATAATAAGTAAAAACTCCTAAACTAGTATTTCTGAACTTTATTTTTTAATTCACAACAATATATATATTTAAGTAATGACTAAAGGTCTCCTGAATTAGTTTTTACAGTGTAGTAAAGTACACTTTCTGCTCCGGAAAGTTATGAAACTTAGGATTTCTTAAAAGGGTGTCGAAGAACTTTCCCCAAAACCCGGAGATACTCGGCTGCACTCGGCAGCACTCGGCTCTAATACGCATGCGCACTCGACCACCGAAGACGTGATTTCCTTTGAGGCGGCTGCTGGAAGCGGGAAGAAAGCCTGCTCGGTCCAGAAGGTAAGTTTTAGCTAACGTTACATGATCAAATGTTACCGTTTACTGGCACCGTTCTACCTAGCAAACTTACTCGTCCATTTGCCATATTCTTCACCTTATAGTTAACATTTTTTTATTCTGTTTATTATTCAGTATTTATTATTCTGTTTTGTTTACATGTTCAACTGAGTTTATGTCGGTGTATACATGTGTGTATATGAGGGTGTATTGTGTCCATATGTATGCATGTATATGTGCATATCTACGTAGGGGTATGTGAGTATATGTGTATGAATATTGATTCATATTATACATATATTATTTTTAATGTACTGTATATCTGAAAATCTATAAAAATTTTGATCACAAAAAAATAGAATGAAGTGAGGAAAATTTGAATATCAGTATATATATATATACAGCATATATACATATATATATATATATATATATATTTATATATATATATGTAGATACATGTATATGAATAGAAATAGAAGGAACTCAGATAGACGTCTGTAAACTACAAGTATCCAACTCGATCTCTCAGCTCATTAATGAACAAGTACACACTGTAGGATCAGCAGCGGCTTCCCGCATGCGTGGTTCATCTCTGCTCTGCTGCGAGGCTCCTGTGAGACTGATTCTCTGAGGACAGAGAACGACAATCACGTCCGACACCAGAAAAGTCTCCAATAACTCCAGAAAAGGTCGCTAGATTTTTCCCGCTATAGTCGGTTTTCAGGATGTGAAGTTGGAGGGACCGACAAGACTGAACTACTTCTCTTTCCGGGAAAAGATTCTCCTACCCAGGACTTGATGGTTAACTTTGGCAGCTCCGTGTTAACAGCCACTTTGACTGGTAGGAACCTCAGCGTTACACTCGACAGCCAACGCTCCTTGACTCCCAACATCACTGTGACAACACGATCAGGGAGAATACGTCCCCTTCTCACTCAGAAGGCTGCCCAGGTACTGATTCAGGCTCTCGTCATCTCCCGCCTGGACTACTGCAACTCCCTCCTGGCAGGTCTCCCTGCCACCGCCATTCCACCTCTGATTCGGACTTTACCTTGACTAAAAGACTAACTTTCTTGTTTCTTTCTCTTCTGAGTTTGGATCCCTATGGTTGAATGCCCTTATTGTAAGTCGCTTTGGATAAATGACAAGTAATGTAATGGAATTGAAGACGTTGTTGAGATGTTGAGAGAACGCTGATTTGCCAAAGCTTGTTACATCACATCAAAGATTGTTTATTGCAAAGATCAAGGCATCAACTTTCCTCTGTTTCACTCCAATCTCAGAAACGCTAGCCGGCCAGTTAACCGCCCTCTTTTGATCTACACAATTCACCTGGAGAGAGGTGAATTTTGTGACAAACTACAACTTTTTTTCCTTGATCAAACGTTACTAATTATTTTTATATTTAGAATTGTTGAGGTTTCTATTGAAACAACAGTTACGTCTGCAGACATTCTTCTTCTTTCAAGGTGGAGTTTTTTGGGGAAAATATAATGTTTAACACACTTTTCAACTACAGCAATGCCATAATGAGTTCATAACTTTCCATAATGTCATAAAGTAATGTACTGTGAGCAACGTTAACACGTAGTAATAACTGAAATAATTAACTTGAACTTACTGAGTCTGGTTTCAGAAGAGAAACCAGTGAAGAGGAAAAGTTTTCTCTCCTTTTACAAGTCTTACCTTCACTTTCTAAAGATTCCATGTTTAAAGGGAGGTGGGACATGTTTAATGACACGTTCTAAGAATCAGGGCTGATTAAAGTTTTGATGATTTGCTTTTTCCTAAACTTTAAAGACAGAGGTTGCTTTATTAAAGACAGCGTCTACTGAGCTTTTTATTGCTTTTCTTGGTCTGTCTGCTTTCTCAGCAGCATCGCAGACTTCGTTCATCCCTCCGTAAAAGAATCTCAAGCAGTGAAAAAACTGCTTTGCTTCCTCCAACCATATAGGTGACACCAAAAAGAGCTGGTAACAATGTACCGTCATTAAAATCTGCCAATTTGATCAAAATCGTAATAAATACTGTCTTCTTAGCCTCCTCTCTGATCTCCTTGTCTGTCTTGTTTCCTGGTGACTGTCTGATCTTTTCCTCCTCCTCTTGTCTCAGTTTCTCCACAGCTTGTCTCAGTTTCTCCACAGCTTGTAGCACCTCGTTGGTGTAGCAGCTTCCCTTGTTTGCCTCAATCATGTGATCGATGGTCTTCATCAGCTGCTTCACTTGGAACTGGTTGCTCCTGTAATCATCCGGCTGGTTGTTCTTCCAGTATTTGTTATCAATGACGTGGCAGCGGCCTCCACACTTCTCCATCAGATCACTCATAAGATGATTGTTGTGGAAATATTCCTCAATGGTCTGTCCTTCCCGGAGGTCGTCACCATGAGTAAAGAGGACTGTTGCATACTTGAAAGCTTCTTCAGAGAAGAATTGGTTGATTTTATTAATCACTTCCTGCTCCTGATCTGTGAATCTGTCCACCTTAAACACTATGATAAAAGCATGAGGCCCAGGAGAGAACTCTGTGAAGCACTTCACTATTTCAGCCTTCAGCTCCTCTTCAGGTCGACCCGTGTCGAACAAACCAGGAGTGTTGATCAAAGTGACGTCTCTTCCATCAACACATCTGGTTTCTGATCGACATTCACTTGTTGCAGAGTTGGCAGTGTCGCCGATCTGGAACACGTTCTCTCCTAATATGGTGTTCGCCACGCTGCTTTACCAACTCCTGTTTTTCCCAACATTACAATCCTCATCTCTGAAAGAGAACATCAGCATCAGCTTAATTCTAATATATATTGTTATTGGTCAAATGTTACAATAAAAATTGAAAGCAGTTCGTACTTTACTTTATTATTCATCTGATCATTATTATCAGAGAATAATGTAACAACAGAAGGCCCACAAGCATAAAATTACAGAATCAGCTGTAACAGCACTAAACACAAAACACAGTGAAAGAAATGAACTTACCGATGTCGTCGAGGGTGAAGTGACAGTAGAGCGACAGTTGGACGGAGCAGACTGAGTCTGAAAGTGTTTCCTGAATCTTCTTTAAGTACAACACGTTTGTTACTTCCTCCTTTCACATGATCTCCCCTCAGTCCTCATGAGGTTCCCTTTATAAAAGGAACTAATTCAACTAAAGCAATTTATGTTCTGTACTGTTCTGTTATTATAGACAGCTTTCGTTGCTCTCATGATTGCTTTTCTTGCTGTGTGTGCTTCCTTAGCGGGATCTTTGATCGCTCCTAATAAAACACCTGCACCGATCATTGAGCCAACTGCTATCCCAGCTGCTTCTGTGGTGTTTGTCAGCGCCTGAGGGGGCGCGGGGAGAAGAAGGAGCGCCCGGCGCTTGCAGACAAAGAGGTCAGGAGGTCGAAGGGCTTCACAGAGAAGCGTTACGTGACTGATTGTAGAATCCCAAATGAGATCTGCTGTCGATGGAGGAAAGAAAAGTCCCAAAGTCACTCACGGTGTCTGTGTGTGTGTCTGCAGGGTTTCACCTCCAGTGTGAACGGACCTGTGAAAAACACCAGAACAACAGGAAGGACGTGGAAGGCGTCCGTCAGTGTCAGTTAGAATCCATGAAGTCGTCACACTGGAACACAAGGACACGCGTTAAATTGTATTTCACATTAAGACATTGAGGCGCCCTGGATGTTCTCTTCCTGCCCTGTTTTCCCTTTTGTTTCATATTTATTCTCCTTATTACAGTCATACAGCCAATGTTCTGCACATCTTCAGTAAAGGGGTTTAAATGTGTGGTTTACATGTTGTACCTCGTCATTTACAAGTGCCTTCCTCATTCCCAGTGTTGTGAAAATAAATGTTATCGACCTGACAGAACCTTTTTTTAGTGAGTGTTTGGGTCATAAAATACTTTCTCTTTTTATCCTGATAGAGAATCAGTGTTGAAGCATTTGAAAGAATGTAAAGTTTATGAGTTCCTATTTTTAAGCACCTGATGAAAGTGTTTTTAATGCAGTGATGAACACGACAGTGTCTTTGTTTCTCTCTGTCGCTTCTATTCAGTGAGGAAATTAAACCAGCTGCAAAAGAAATAGGCAAGAATAGAAATCGCAGGCGGATTTTGTGGGGATGGAGAGGGGGGGGTGTTCAGGGAACTCTCATAATCCCTCTTTACTGACATTGCATGACATTGTCTTAACCAAGCCAAAGCCCATCAGACAGCATGCTTATCGGGTTAATCCTGCAAAGAGGGAATGCATGAGGAAGGAGGTGGACTATCTTGTGGAACAAGCTGTTCCCAGCTCCAGTTCATGGAGCTCACCATGTGTCCTGGATGGGAAGCACGACGGCAGTCCAAGGTTCTGCTTTGACTTTCGTAAGGTGAACTCTGTGACTGTCCCTGATCATTCATCCTTTGCCTCTTATTGAAGACTGTCTTGATGAGATTGGTCCAGCAAAGGATGTCAGTAAACCTGACATGTTAAAAGGTTACTGGCAGGTTCCGTTAACACCACGTGCCTCGGAGATCTCAGCTTTTTTCACCCCAGACAGTTTTCTTCAGTATACAGTAATGCCCTTTAGACTCTGCAATGCGCCTGCTACCTTTCAGAGACAAGGTTTTGCGAGAGGTTCCACGCTGTAAGGCATACTTGGATGACATCGTCGTATACTCTGATGATTGGAACTCTCACATGGCTACCTTGAGGGACGTTCTCAAACATCTAGCTGGTGCGTCGCTGACTCTCAAGCTCTCTAAATGTGAATTTTGGAGAGGTTCTCTTTTGTGTCTTGGTCAGCAAGTTGGTCGAGGCCAGGTGTGTCGTGCGGATGCAAAGATCACAGCAATTGCTGCATTTCCTGTGCCAACCACTAGGCGGGAGTTACGACGGTTTCTTGGGATGGCTGGGTACTACCTTAGGTTTTGCAAAAACTTTTCTAACGTGGCAGCCCCATTGAGAATATAATATAGATTTTTAATTTAGATTTATTTTTAAGTTGCTTCATAACCATTGTTTTCGGTCGTCCGACCCTGCTGTAATGTTTAATTGTGTAGGGTCAAAGATGACCAGCAGGTGTCACCATCTCACCACTAGGGGGGTGGTGTCTGTGCATCGTACATGCGCTTCCGTGGGAAAGAAGAAGAAGAACGACTGACAGAGCCTGTCGTTGCACAGACACCACCACCATTAAAACGGTTTACTTTTATATGTATTTAAGGTGTCTGCTGCTGTTCTTCTTCTTCTGACACACCACATATTTGGCGAGCTAGCCAGGAGGAAGGTGTCTTCGAGCAGCATTTCCATCTTTCCCCCAAGAAGAACCTAGAAAAATAACAACACCAACTGAACTGCAGTGTCACCATGGAATTTGAGGTGCTTCTGGACAGAACCAGCTCAACTCTGACCAAACTAAGCTGGGACCAGGTAGTAAAAGTCTGCATACACCTTGACTGTATCGAGGAAGAGGACGAGACCATAAACAATAGAAGTCGACGAGCACTGATCAAGTTAGTAGAGAAGAAACTGGATGCTAATGAACAGGATGGGGACGTTGAAGAAGCATGTCAGATGATGCGAGATCTTTTGGCCTTCATGGGAACAATGGTTGAGAGTGATGGGGAGGGGACAGAGCAGGAACTTCTCCGTTTATGGAAGATCAAGGGAAAATACGCAGAGCGGCAGAGGTCCCAAGAACTGTCACGTCAAGGAACCAGTGTATGTGTGCATCGATAACTTTATCATGTTTGTGTTCTTAGGTTTGATTTTTATTTCAGTGGCACTTCCCCGTTTTTTAATAAACTTGTTTATTTGTTTTGGAACTTTGTCTACGAGTCGTGCGTTTGGGTTCAGGGCCATTGTCCGGTCGCGACATAAACCAAATACATACATACATATTTACATGCAATCATGAACTAAACTAAGCAGAAAATCTCACTAAATCTATGAACATCATTTTGTTGAAGAATAGTTGGTTTCCTGTGCATTTCAATGTCACAACTACAAACAACAAATCAAATGAAACCAGTGGAAGATGTTATTTGAGCAAATTGAGTCTTTAGTAGAGTGTACTACCCCCCCCCACACACACACAAACACGCTCATAAGTGAAAGTGAAACTTAAGTAGAAGCAGAGTACCTCCACAGCAGAAAGAACTGTCGTCTGTATTAACTTTTACTCTTTACTGACTTTTCATCTACAAACATGGACAATAAGTTAAAGTTTCTTCTCTGAATGATTATTATTTGTTAACAATGCTCTCTGTCCACCAGCTTACAACACGCACAAGAACACATTTTATTTGTGTGTCCATAATGGACCGTTGTTGTCCCTCGTGCTCATGGCGCAGTGTACTTGTGCATTAGTGAGACAGCAGGGGGCGCTACCAACAAAACAACGCTGTCTGGTGCCTTCAAGGATTAAACAGGTCAGAGAAGCAGTTACATCCTGTTGGATACTCTATCAGGAATCAGGAAACATTTATTTGCCAAAATATGTCAAACATACAAGGAATTTGTCTTGGCGGTTAGTGCGCGACAGTAGACAGACAACAGTGCACAAGTAATAAAATAAAGTAGAATGAAATGCTAATGCAATGGGTTAGCTAGTTTACATCAGAGTTACTCACATGTGTTTGTTAGTGTGTATTTAGCTAAACGATGTTTAATTCAGAGTCCCTTTTTCTTTTCTAGTGTGGAACACATGGAGGATCGTCATCCTGGGAAAAGCAGTAGTTGGAAAGAGCAGCCTCGCCAACAACATATTTGGAGAAGCCAAATTCAAAATAAACAGTTTTGATTCCACTGCAGCGGAAACAAAATACGTCAGTGGGAGAAGCATCACTCTCATCAACACTCGTGGCGTCTTTGACCCGGGCAGATCTGAGTAGAAGAAGGGTCCTGAGAGGAGGAGGTGCACCACAGAGTGCGCTCCTGGGCCCCATGCTTTTCTCATTGTGCTGAAAGTGGAGAAATTCACAGAGCAGGAGACGGCCGTCATCACAGAAATATGTGAGGATTTCCCTGAAAATGCTCTAAAATATGCCGTGATCGTCTTCACTCATGGTGACCAGCTCCAGGAGGGAGTGACCATGGAGGAGCATGTGGAGCAAAGTGAGGGTCTCAGTGACCGTTTGGTGAAGGTTTTATCTTGTTCTCTTGTGAAACTGTCTTGAGTCATTATTTCATGGTATAATGGTGATTACTTACTTTCTATAAATATTTACTATTCTAATCACGTATTTTGTGTTAAAGTTTAAGGCTGACTCGGCTTGACTTTCTTACCATCAATAAAAACAATTAACAGACCAAAACCAAGAATGAAATGTGTTTTGATACTATCATATAAATACCCCCACAGCTTCCGGTAGCTGGTGGTGCTGACTGGACGCTTTGATGGGAACAGAATCAGAATCTCCCTGTGAATTTCAAAGTATGGTTCAATGGTATCAACTGAGTTTCTCCAAATCCGTTTGGTTAAACCTTTCCCTAAACTGCAAATCCAAACAGTCTAAAAACGTCCCCAAACGTCCCTCAGTGTCATTGCTAATGCTGGTGATTCTTAACAAAACGTCCTAAGTGAGACCTGACCTGAAGCCCTGATGGTCCAGCTGCTGCTTCCTCAATCTCTGGATTTCTGAATTTCCTGAATGCATTCCAAGATAATGCTTTAATTAACAAAATAACCTCATGAGAATTATATGTAATGCATTTGTTTATTCTGAAATTAATGTTTAATATGTAGGTAATCTGTTCAGGACTAATTCCTCTGTGCTGGATTTCTGAGCAATGAAATAAAGTAATAATTAATTCATTATATAATGCATAATTGTGTGCATTCCAATTCATAGCACCTTTTTACTACCAACAAGTATAACAGTTAATCAGTCTTGAGTTGCTGGCCTGCTGGTACCAGTATAAACTAGCATGGTCCCATTATGTGGGTACGTTAGTTTTATCCTTCTGGCTTCAACAAGGCAGCTGCTGCTAACGCACTGATTCAAGGATTCAGACGCTAGAGATGTAAATAAAGTGACATGCTGCACACTAGAGGATGGATACCAGACACTAACAGCCTACATTGTAGAGCGCGCATCGTACGGCCAGCAGGTGAGCTGACACGACCTGTGATCTGATAGCTCGATTGATTTGGTTGATTCCACGGCACCGTTCAGGGCGTTAACCTTGTAAACAAAAGCCCCCCCCCTTAATGAATCATAAATGATGAGCAGATCTCAGGCCTGTGTGTCTGATTGCATCAGACTGTAGAGCTCAATCACTTAATGAAGACGTCCTCGGTTTGGACACTAGAGGACGCCAACGTCCCAGAGTTCTGCACATCTTCAGCTGGAAGGGAACGACCACTTCTTCCGTGTCAGCACGAGGGACTTTACAGCTCGTCGAAGTTTCATCAGAAATGCTTCCATTTCCCCTAAATGCTCCTCTGAGCAGCTCACAGCCTGATCACGTCGCTCTCACGTTCCTCCGCCTCTCAGATTGTCGGCCGAGATCCAATCAGCAGCTCAGCGCTCAGCGAGCGCGTAGAAAACTCCTTTGAGCGCGAGCAGAGATTCTCCTTGCGAGCAACGAAGTTCACGTTTCACAAGCGAGCAAATATCTCGCTCGAGACGGACTTTTGCTCGCTGATGTTTGATTTTGGTAAAATTCTTAAGGTCATTCAATCATTATGTTTTGATCAGAGTTGTGATTAAAGGTTTGGGTGGGAAGATTTTCAGATTTCAAATTAGGCCGGGGCATTTTTGAGTTTGGGAACCGCTGTAATACAACTAATACAATTAATAAGAGAGCCGGAAAATAGTTTTATCTTAAAAACAACAAACTTCACATTCATAGTGATTTTCTTCTCTAATTGACTTTCAGTGGAATACGTGACCATCGTTGACACGTGACCTTCTGCTGGGCGTTCAGCTTCGCCTGCACCCTGCTGGTGCTGCTGGTGGAGCTGTTCGGCCTGCAGGCCCGGGCCCCCATGTCCTGGACCAACTTCCCCATCACCTTCGCCTGCTACGCCTGCCTCCTCTGCCTCTCCGCCTCCGTCATCTTCCCGCTCTTTTTCCTCAAGTACCAGAACTCCCCCGGCGAGGCCCGCGACCATCGCATCGCCGCCACCGTCTTCTTGTGCCTGGCGACGGTGGCCTACATGGGGGAGGTGGCCGGTTACATGGCCACAGCCCCGGGCCTGCTGAAGGTGTGCCAGACCTCCGTGGCGTGCATCCTCTTCCTCCTGGTTTGCGACCCCGTGACCTACGACCGGCACACGGCCCTGAAGTGGTGCATGGCGGTGTACTGCATCTGCTTCATCCTCTCCGTGGCCGTGGTGGTGCTGTGCGTGGGCGAGTGTACTGGCCGCCTCCCCGTCCCCTTCTCATGCACCTGACAGTCATGTACTTGACGACGACCACCCTCTTAAGACACTAGGGCGCCCTGGAGTACAGTACATAAATTGCTATAGTTGAATTAGTTCTGTAGGATATTAGAAACAAATTGACGATCCGGTTCATAAAATTAATAAAAATGCATATAGTGACACCAGAATAGAGCCATGATTCTGAAACTGTGTAATCAATAAATTAATGACAATATTGTAAAACCACTGTAATTCTGCACTGTAGTAGAATAATATCAATGTAGTTATGATTGTATTTGATGTAATGTAATCAACTGGAATGCATGCATGTAATACTTGCACAACCACTGATATTGACTAAGGATCATTCGAAATCCGAGTTACATTGAACTCACCAGAAGACCACTCCCAGAGGTGTGGACACTGACTTTCACACCTTTAAGCATTGGTATAAATACCTGTAGGAACCATTGTTCTGGAGTTCGCAGGTGGAGGCGACAGACGGGCACTAGGGATGGTCAAAGGACTGACCTGGGGCCTGTTGGTCGCTAAGACCAGCGGCTCCTCAGCTGAGATGTTCTTTTTACCGCAACGCCATCTCTTTTATTAAATACATTTGATTTTAACCTTTAATCAGCGATGACCTCTGTCCGTCCAGCGTTTCTTCATTTTTGAACACAACAGTTCTTGTCATCTTGTGTTTGTAACTCTAATGTAATATAGATGTATTTTTAAGTTGTTTCATAACCTTTGTTTTCTGCTGTAATGTAATTCTCGTACCTCATTGCTTTACACGTTATTACGTAAGTTATTTAATACAGCATTAATAAAAGATCGCCGCCGCGGTGCTCACTGCCCTCAACGCCTCCGTGGGAAAGTCTCAGAAGAACGGCTGGTGGGAGACTTACGTTGCATAGACACCATTAAACTGTTTACTTGTACGTGTATTTAAGGTGAGATTCTTACGTATGAAACACTGTTCAAGAACACTGTTAACTTAGTTAATGACAGTAATGAGTGTTAAAGAGTTGTTGTTCTGGGGCCGTTATTAGCATTAGCCTAACAAGCTAACCTGTGTGTTCATCTGACTGTTATGGAGAAGTCTGTGTATTCCCATGTTGTTGATGTTTTAGCTTATGCTGACTTTGCCCTGCCTTTTGTAGTGTACACTGATGCAAGTAACAGAGGACTAGGGGCTGTCCTTGCCCAAGTGCAAGACGGCCGAGAGCGTGTAATAGCTTATGCTAGCCGTAGCTTGCACCCAGCAGAACAGAACGATGCAAACTATAGCTCCTTCAAGCTAGAGCTCTTGGCATTAAAGTGGGCTATTGTAGAGAAATTCACAGACTACCTGACTGGGGCAAAATTTGTAGTTTTCACGGAAAACAATCCAGTGGCTCATTTACAGACTGCTCGTCTGGGTGCTGTGGAACAGCGGTGGGTCGCACAACTGGCCACTTTTGATTACACTGTGAAGTACCGCTCTGGAAAAGAGAATGCTTTAGGTGATGCCCTGTCCAGGTTCCCCCAAGTGTCCATGTGCACAGGTAGAACATCGGCTAAGGTCAACTTTACTACTGCTAGACTCGATCAAGAGGACGGAGTGGCGCCACTCTCCGGCGATTGGGGAAACTGGCAACAAGATGACCCAGACATTGCAATCATCAAGAGGTATGTGGGCCAGGGACTGCCTCCACAAGGACCAGAGAAGAGGGCTATGACCGGAAATACCAGAAGGATCCTCCAACAATGGAAGAAATTGGTTGTCCGAGAGCAGGTGCTCTACCGGGAGGTAATTGACCCCAACACTCATGAGCTACGATCCCAAATCGTGTGCCCAGCATCTAGGTGCCAAGAGGTCTGGCAGAAATACCATGAGGCGGCCGGACACCCAGGAATTGAGAGGACCATGGCCAATATTCGACACTGTTTCTACTGGCCTCGTATGGAAGAAGAGGTACAGGGGTTTCATTCGGGGTGCGTCGTATGTAGCTTGAAGGACAAAATAGAGGCTAAGGCACCCCTGAACCCAATTGTAGTATCATACCCCCTTGAGGTGGTTGCCCTCGATTTCCTTTCTCTCGGTAGGCCGATGGATGCATACCAAAACATCCTTGTAATGACCGACATGTTTACTCGTTATGCATGGGCTGTCCCTACTCGAGACCAGACAGCAAAGACTACAGTCAGGGCAATATGGTCTCATGTTATTCAGACATTCGGCTGCCCAGGTCGTTTCCATTCAGACATGGGCCCAAATTTTGAATCCACTTTGATGCAGCAGCTTTGTGCCATGTATGGAGTAACAAAGAGCAGAACAACCCCCTACCACCCGGCTGGGAACGGTAGGGTAGAAAGGCTGAATCAGACTGTGCTAAATCGATTACGCACGTTGAGAGGTGAAAAACAGAATAGGTGGGCCGAGCATGTCCAAGAGTTGTTGCAAGCCTACAACAATACTGTCCACAGTTCTACAGGTTTTGCCCCCGCTTACCTCATGTTCGGGCGCCATCTAAGACTCCCAGTAGACGTAGAGTTGGGAGTAGCGCCTCACCAATCCAGGTTGGCACTTAGTGGGTGGGTGGAAGACCACCATCAAAAACTAACTCTAGCTTACAAGCTCGCTAGGGAGAGGATGGGTCATGAACGCGATAAGAGAAGCTATGACCGTAAGGCCCAGGCGTTATCCCTCCTCCCAGGTGAACGGGTGTGGGTGCGAGATAGGAACAGACAGGGACAAGGGAAGTTACGATCATGGTGGAACCCAGAGCCCTATGTTGTCGTTAGGCCTTGTGGGTGATTCTGGGGTGGTATACAAAGTTAGGCCAGAGAGCGGTGGGAAGGTCAGAACCCAACACAGGAATGCCTTGAAACCTTGTATAACCCCTGTCAATGTCATCCCTGAACCAGGTACTATAGTCGAGACAGAGGCGGAAGTAGACCCTCTACCTTTTGGATTTTATGTAGTACCTGCTTTTGAGCCCCCTGAGGTAGGGGCAGACATTTTGCCTCCTGAAGCACCAGCAGGAGTAGTGGACAATGCGCTCCGCCGGTCGGCACGCGCTACCCGTGGACTACCACCAAGCCGATATCGACATTAGGCTTGTCCAGTGGCAGGGACTGCCTACGTTTAAGTGGGGGAGTATGTCACTGGGTGGACGATTGGGGACCATTGATTGCATGCACAATTGATTGCATATTTTATTGATTGCATGTTTTATTGATTTGTTGTTGCATGTTTTTACAGTTTGTTATTTTATGATTGCATGTTTCTATGACTTGTTGTTTTGTGATTGCATGCTGGACAATTTATAATCTGCTTTGAGTTTTGTTTGAGTTGTGTCCTCAATTAACAATCGTCCCCAACTAATTAGCAATTAGTGGCATATGGCAAATGGACCAATGGCTGAAAGGCCAGGGGCAGAACTTTCTCTTTTTAAGCAGGAAGACAGAACACTGGCAGAGGGAGAAACGGGAGAGAAACAGGGCGAAACTGGAAAGGGGAGCTGGGGAGCAACAAGGAGAGCTGGGAAGAAACGAGACACGAGAGAAGGGAGAAGGAGCAAGGAAAGAAAGGCAAAAGCAGAGGTACCAGCAGCAGCAGCAGCAGACGCACCACCAGAAGCAGCAGCAGCAGCAGCGGAGGGCAGGAGCAGACTCACCACCACCAGCAGAAGCAGCAGCAGCAGCAGCAGCAGCAGCAGCAGCGACTGGCAGTCAGACGTCCACACCAGTGGACTAGGGACGCACAGGACTTCGCTCCTGTTGTGGTGATGACCCTGGACGGACTATTTTAGCTCCCTTTTATATATTTTAACCTTTGTATTAAAATAAATATTTTTTTAGTCGTATTCCCGCCCCTGTCTCCTCTTGGGTCATTGTTTTACTGCTCCCCTCCAAACAAACAAGCCTTTGTTTTTAATTATTTAGAGTTCCTAGGGCTTTTACCTAGGTGGCGTTGTTGGCAACACTTTTAGTTTTTAAGAAGAAACCTCGGCCGCTGACATTTGGATCTGTGGAGAAGAACGACTGACGAGAGACTAATGTTGTATAGAAACCACCATTAAAACTGTTTACTTGCACATTTATTTAACGTGTCCGCTGTTGTTATTTGACGCGCCATCAAGAGGAGGGAAACACTAACAATGGGCTTTATTTCTAATCGGATTAAAGTGCTACTTTATGTTTGCTGGATTGTCGTCCTGCAGACGTGCGTTGGCACGTCAACAGAAAGACGAAACGGTCATCAGTTGATCGGATTCCCAATGGCACGCGGGCCTGAATGGCTTCTGCATCAGACTGTAGAGCTCAATCACTTAATGAAGACGTCCTCGGTTTGGACACTAAAGGACACCAACGTCCCAGAGTTCTGCACATCTTCAGCTGGAACGACCACTTCTTCCGTGTCAGCACGAGGGACTTTACAGCTCGTCGAAGTTTCATCAGAAATGCTTCCATTTCCCGTAAAGGCTCCTCTGAGCAGCTCACAGCCTGATCACGTCGCTCTCACGTTCCTCCGCCTCTCAGATGGTCCGCCGAGATCCAATCAGCAGCTCGATGCTGCAGATTCTCAGCATTTATCATTGCAAATGCGTTTATATTATTTAGAAAGTAAATGGAGCTGCAGGTAAAGTGTGTCTTTGTTATGGGCTCTTCAGTCTCGTTTGCATCACTACGTGATTTCATACAGCTTAAATAAAAATAGTTTGATCATAAAACAACAAACTTCACATTCATAGTGATTCTCTTCTCTAACTGACTTTCAGCAGGTCTCATGTTGTAGAATCCCAAATGAGATCTGCTGTCGATGGAGGAAAGAAAAGTCCCAAAGTCACTCACGGTGTCTGTGTGTGTGTCTGCAGGGTTTCACCTCCAGTGTGAACGGACCTGTGAAAAACACCAGAACAACAGGAAGGA